ATGTGGTTTACATTAGATTTTATTAGATCAAGTAGGTTTAAAAAAAAACATTGCCTCTTTGACAACCGTTGCGTGTACTTCCACTCCATCCCTTGATGCAGTACAGCTTGAACTTACATGGTCTTGACAATGGTTTTCATATTCTCCGTCAATACATTGAGCTGTGACGAAGTTGACGGTTAAATGCATGTGTACTCATACAAATTGTTGCCCTGTGGCACAAAAAACTGTACAAAAGCACTTAAAAAGGTTAATTCTAAAGAGGTTTGCCTATGAAAATGTCTGAAGGAGAGATTTTTTTTTGGTGTCTAAAAATTCCAATTTTAGACTTATTTCAAGTAGAATTCAAAATATATACCTACATGTTGCCCCAACTCTGACAAAAGTGTTTTACTAAAATTATTTTTCATTTTACACCACAGGAATTTTATCTTTATTATTTGAATTTTTGTATCATATAGAGATTTTGCCTTGAAGATAATACGAAATAGATCCATTAGGTCAAATTTTCCTTAGAATTTTTGAAACTTTGATCATTCATTGGTTACAATATAGTGATATTCGTTTTGTTTTTCTCCTGTATTTTTAAAGAAATGAGTTATAATAAAATTCCTGGATGTTTTTTTTTTCTCCCTTAAAAATAGATTGAGCTCAAAGTTCAACGAATGAGGAAAAAACAAACAACGTTAACTCAAATATTGTAGCTATTTCTGACGTATAATTAATGTACATTATTGAGACTGGAAATCTTTTAAGATTTTGTAAAACTGATATGACCTTCGTATTCCAAATGATCATTGCTTTAATTTATTTCCTATAATAAATATTTATCTTCACTGCTTTTTTCTAACAGATCTCTAATTGAAAACAAAATACTTTTTTCCAAATTTTAAAAAATTTACAATATTCAACCATTCCTCGTTCTGCATTTTGTACTTATACTACATAATTTAACGGTAGATTTATACTTACAGTATATTAATTTCACAATTATCATCAATTCGAAACACAAAAATATCCTCGACAACTGCATGCTTATTTATATGAAATACACAGGATTCCAAGGATTAGGAAAGAAAAATGAACGAACGATGATTAATATCATTAAATCTGTAAGAAATATGGAGCATTAAGAAAGGAGAGAGAAAAAAATCCTGTTTAACACCACAAAAAATATAAATGGGGACCCTGCTATTTTAACTTCCTTAAAAAAATGGAAAGATCATAGGATCGAGGTCATATTATTATGTATAACTGATAGTGATGCAAGTTAAAATATTTCATAAGAAACAAGATGTGTTTGTAAAACACTGATGCCCCCGTATGGCAACATAGCAAAGATTAAGCTTTTCTTCAATGCAAATTTAATTAATTGGTACAAAAAGTAGGGTATTCTCACTGGAAAACAATTGTGAAAATTGAAAGTAAGCTAATGTTTAAGTTTTTTAATAAGTACAAAAATCTCCTAGGTCAAGGTCAAAAGGTCAATGTAATTAGTATCAAATGAAAGGTCTTGCTACATAAAATACTTATGTAGAGCATGAAAGCCCTAGCCCTAACCGTTCAGAAGTTATGGTCAACGTTCAGTTCCTTAAAAAGTAGGTCAAACTCCAAGGTCAAAGGGTCAACGTTATTGTTACCAAATGAAAGATCTTGTCATAAGGATCAAATATGTAAATCATGAAAGCACTAGCCCTAACTCTTCAAAAGTTATGGTCAAGGTTTGCTTTTTTTAAAGTAGGTCAATCTCAAAGGTCAAGGTCAAAGGGTCAAAGTTCTTGCTATCCAATGAAGGGTCTTTTCACAAGGATTACATATATGAAGTATGAAAGCCCTATTTTGTACCGTTCAAAAGTTATGGCCAAGGACAGTTGCCAGGTTAAAGTTTTTTTCACAAGTACGGAAATCTACAAGGTCAAGTTTAAAGGGTCAAGGTTGTTGGTATCCAACGAAAGCTCTTTCCACAAAAAATACATATGTCAAATATAAATGTCCTGGTGTTTATTGTTCAAAAGATATACCCAAAGTAAAAGTTCAAAATTTTTGTGTAAAAGTAGGTCAAACCCCAAGGTCAAGGTCAAAAGGTCAAATTTGGTGGTACCCAAAGAAAGGTCTTGTCACAAGGATTACACATCTGAAATATGAAAACCATAGCTCCACTAAATCAAAAGTTATGGGCAAGGTTAAAGTTTTTGCGGACAAACAGAGACAGAGAGACAGACGGACACGACAAAAACTACATACCCCCGAAACTTCGTTTACGGGGGCATAATAAGAGGGTCCTTTTCATAATAATTATGTAAATAATGAATTTACTGTGAAACAAAAATCATATTGTAAAGTTTAAGTTTACAACTGAAAAGCAGTAAGAAGGCTATCTTGTTTTCGTTTTGACGATCCCTTTTGAAAACAAATGTCATATATGTTTCTTCTTCTGGAATTTGACTTTATATGCAATTGGAAGCAATCATTTTGTTGTTAATGCTACCACGTTTATTATTTACATCATGTCAAAAAGCCTTGACTTTAATTCAGCGTTATGAATTGTTGTATTTACAATTATAAAGTCGTTAAGTTTTTATGATGTTGATTTTGGTAAATTTTTGCGATTTTAAATTTACCAAAGAGTATTTTGAAATTTTTAAGCATCCACATCTAATTTACACCACTTCTCGAATAAATTGTTGCACAGTGCTCCTGAATTTTCTCCTTCATAATGAAGCACTGTAGAATATTATTATAACTGGAACCCGCTATGCTGTTGTTTGAAAGGATATTTATGAATAAATTTTGGTCGCTTAGAAAAGTAAAAACATTTAAATCTGATATGTGATTTTAATACACCAATTAATTTTTTTAGCCCTTCCCCCTTGAAAAACGTTGCATAGACCTGTTATATGAAGTTGTTATTCGTCTTCAAAATTAATTATGCATTTAACAACACGCTACAATTCACTCTCCTTACAAATATTCATCTTAAAATATTCAATGGGTATAGCTACATTTACCATATCTTTAGTTGTCTTCTGATCTCTTATGCATTTAAAAGTAATCAATTACACATTAATTTGTTTTCTTTATTTCATTTCAATTAAAACTATGGAAGAATATTTCAATATAATGTCATTTTTTGAAAATAATTTATTAACCATAAAGCAAAACCCTTTCAAATTTCTAACTATCCCGGTCAAGATACATTTAGTTAGTAAATAAAAAAAATTAAAAAGTTACAAATATTGATTACAACATTTTCTACAAATGATTGAGTAATATTTTGTGACGATAATACATCTAAGTCTTATTTTTTAACATACGAGTTTTCGTTCACTTCAATAAAACATCCATATTGTTTTTAATATTATTTTTTGCATAATCAAGTTTTGTTCTGACATCTTCAAAACATTTTTAAAATATCTAATATGCTACGAAAAACAAATGTATTAAAAATGTTGCCATTCAGAATAGAACTCTAGGATTGAATATTTCCACTGTACATAAAAATGTTACAAAGAGCTGAGATTTTCCAATATCAATATTCCAAAATATCTGAATACGTTCACAATAAAAACGTAAGTGTCTAGAAGCTTCAATTTTATCACATATATGTACGTATATCTTTCCAAAATAAAACTCAATTGCATGTCTGTTTAATTCAAACTAAAACTGTTTCAGGTGATATACACTGAGGTGAAGTACATGCATTATGCCCGATAGATTGCAAATATTGTTTTCAGTTCTTTCAATAACTCAAAACTTAATTTTCAAAATTTTTTATCCGATGAGTTCAGGCGCATTGTGATGATGGATGAATAACCAAACAAATGCATACTAGTATTCCTTTGCAACAAACATATGCTTACACTCCCCTTTATTAAGGATTAACAAAAATTGTGATGATGATGCTTATTATGATGTAACAATTATAACATATATAAGAATGGTTGGGTATTTCTTGAAATCACTAATAAACTGATTTTAACTGATAATAATTTTTAAAGCAATTGTTTCCAGACCTCCTGTATAAATGTATGTAATATCATCCATTGGAAAAGTTTGGGAAAAAAACATGTATAATACGTCAAAATTATTCATATCAAAGAAATTTTCGAAACAGATATCAAATTGCGATTAATGCCTAGGTCACATTTAAGCCGATGGTCGGGCGACTAATTTTTCTGGTCTTGTCGGCTGAAAGTACATGATCGGCCGATACAGTATCGGGCGACACAGAGCAGTCACATTAATTCGTAGAGACACCGATTACTTGGATAAATAACACAAAAAATCTTTTTTCTTTAGAATTCAGCAATATTTTTTCATAGATCTATATTCAGATAGGTGACGTGAGTAATGTTTGCAAGGAAAAGTGGCATAATCTTATAAAATTGTGACTCAATGTTGAAAATGTGTGCAAAATTTTGTATGGAATTGCATAAAACGACAAATGGTGCATATCTAAGCAGCAAAGAATACTTAAGATTTCTTTATATCTTACGGATTGATTGTTCATGTTATTTCCGTTCAACAAATTTATATCAATCCATGCATCAAAATTTGTTTCTGTTATGTATCCTTACTAGGTTAAATATTCACAAGTCGGCCAATCGTCGTCCGATCATCGAGCTCTGAGATACAGTTTGATTTTAAGCGTCGGCCGAAATTTTAAACACCCTTATTGTCCAACGACGGACGACCGACTTAATAAACTGACCACCGATGGTCGGACGATGATCGAAGGTTGGTCGACGGATATTTTCAATTGAAGGAATCGGCCACCGACGCATAAAAAATTATAACTTGGACCGATAGACACAAAATTGGTCGGCCGACAAAAAAGAGGTCAAAATCGGGCAAGACAACGGCCGATGAACTGACGACTGTCACCCGAAGAATCCCATTTTTGCTTCAAAACCCGTCGGCCGTTGGTCGTTTTTGGAAATGTGACTGGGATTTAAAACATACATAATTGGAATGATGTTATAAAATTAGGTTTTTGGAAATTGGAATGCCAGATACATGCAAAATACTGATGGCTTATTTATACAAGATAAGGTATTCTGGATAAACTTGATTTTTCTCATAAACGACAAACTCCCTGTCTCTGAAGTATCCGCCTGTTTCGGCTACAACACTATCGTAGAGTTCCTGGTGTTTCTTACAGAACAGATCGTTGCATTTCCTACATGGAGGTCTGAAGAATTTGCCCTGTGATCTGGTAATGAATACGTCCCCTAAACACATTCTCAGCAGCAGCATGGCTCTTACATTATCATTTGTTCCTAGAACAGCAGAAATCAAAGTATTGAAAGAACTGAAAGCTGGGCTTTAATTGCTGGAGTGTGTTGTCTGATCAGAAATTATTACATATTTAATTTTTTTCCCTTTGGCCATTGATTTTTAACACGTAGAGTTTGTATGATTATGATTTAAAACAATTTCCCATATACATGTACCAGTAATTAAAATTAACAGTCCAGATCCAAAGATATATAATGATTTAAAATATATATATATATTTCCAAGAAATTGTCGCAAATTTTGTATTCAATAAGCACTTTTTTCTCATAATTTAAAAATTCAGTCTTGGAATAGTTAAAATAATGCACATGTGTATTTTATAGACATTCTTTTAGTTTCAAACAAACAGTACTTTTATCGCCAACAAAATATGTAGAAACACATACATGTACATTGTCAAGCGACTTCACGCATGTTATTTCTCAAAATTCCAATTCACAACACTATTAATTTGCTTAAAATCATAACAGAATATAACCACTATCATAACATCGACGAATAAGATATTAAACATGAAACTCTTCAACAATTTCAACATTCCGAAAAGCCCGCGCTATTGAAATGAATTCAGCAACGTATGTGCACAAATTGTTATATCACGATTATCCCAATAAAGCAAATATTTTTTTTTTCTTTCAGTTTAATTCTCAAGCAAAAATATTGATTAACTTTTTTAACAATTGGGATGTTAAAAATATTTGTTTGTATATCGTCTCGCAATATGACTATTTTGTTTAGCGGAAGCGTCTGCTTTGACGCTGTTTGGTTTTTTGTTTACTGTGCTATTTATAGTAAGACAGTCGATCGTGATGCATATAGCAGGACTTTGATTTCAGCAAAGCCGGCTATAATGAATAAATTATATTCTGCTGTGACTTAAAGAATAATAGGATTTTTTTAATTACGTATATTTAAGGAATGAAGCTTATATCAACTTATATTATACGATATAACATAACTTGGGACAGTTTACGCTTTATAAACCGCGAAGCGGTTTATAAAAAAGCGTAAACTGCCCCAAGTTTTGTTATATCGTATAATATTAGTTGAAATAAGCTTCGTTCCTTATGATTTAATTTTAGTGCAGACAATGGGACAATAAGGCTTCACATTGATTAAATTTTAAACATAACGTCAAGCGGAGTAATACGTTTTTTTGACGTAACTTATGGTGACGTAGGCAAGTTATGTTATAAAAAATGAATAAAATCTTTTATCCAATCAAATGACGTGTTACAAATAAAATTAAATTATTTAGTATTATTTCTCATTTTCAAAAAGTTTTATTAAGTTTTAATGTATTGTAACAGATACCACATTGAAATTTTTGATTGTTTGTTTGTTTCACGTCACTTTAAAAATGTTTCGACAAGTATTCAGATGCTTTACTTGCGATGAAGGACTTCAAATTTATTAGGCAGTTAGATTTGCAGTATTGGCAGTGCTCAATGGCCCTAAGTGCAAGTAAAGGTTCTAAATTTTCCATCCATCGGCAAGTGAAACATTGTCTGGAAGTTTAAACAGCGGAAAAGAAATAAAAAGAACGGATTATTCTATTCGCCGAAATACGGCTGAGATATTTCCAAATCGACGTTAAACAATAATAACCAATCAATTAATCTAATGTTGTTTCTATGATATAGAAAAAATAGAGTCTTTAAAATAACAGACAAATTAAGGGAAAAAAGTAAATTGTAAATTACGTCATCAAAAGCAACAAAAACACACATTAAGTGCAGCTCAGAAATTTGACTAGCTGCAGATCTGTAGCTCTCCGAAAAAAATATTGATAGACCGGAGAGCTACAGTGCCACCCATTGAAAAAAACTGTATATTTATTGCGCACAAAAAAGTGCGCTCGATTGTTGAATAATTCTTCCAAATTCTTACCTTAATTGCATAAAATGGAGGATTTCAAAAACATCCTCTCTCCTCTATCAAGTACTTTCGCTGTTGACATCTGAACGAAGCATATTGGACCAAATTATCTTTCAAACCAAAATGGCAGTATAAATAAGCGAAATGTTCGATGATTACAATATCAGGCCAGGAGGACTATTAACGACAATAATGAGGAATGTTTTGTTGTGGAAAGAGTCATAGAATATGTTAGAAACACGCCGTTAGTAATATTTTGAGATTACAGTTTAAAAACATGGAGAAAAAAACCGAGAACAACCGAGCGCACTTTTTTGTGCGCAATAAATATACAGTTTTTTCAATGGGTGGCACTGTAGCTCTCCGGTCTATCAATATTTCTTTTTCGGAGAGCTACAGATCTGCAGCTAAAATTTAAAAAGTTGTACTATGTACATTAAAAATGTCCCGCTTTTACGGGATAAAAAATAAATTAAACCTGTATATCCATCAGATTTTGAAGCCATTTCAGCACCATAGATTCCATTACCAAGGAGACCACCGTGTGCTTTTGGAAGCTTTGGAACTAGTCCTTGAATCTTTATATTTTCCAAGCAGTCAGTTGCTGTACCGTGAAAGAAATAGTATTCGTTTACTTCTGAATGTAGATCATCTTTCAAAAATCCCAACGCTTGCATCAAGACAAGATTTGAGTCTAACAATCGTTCCAATGGTGTAAATATTCCTTCCATGTGTACCTTCCGAAATTGACGAACGCGCTCGTGTGCATATTGAAAATACAGATTGGCATTCTCCAATCTACAAATCTTCTCTATCTTACAATTTTTTCCACCCATTGTTTTCAAGAATGCATTTTCGATGCAACCGAATGTCTTTTTGTCTACATCTACTTCGTAACATGTTGGCTCGGCCCAATCCTTAAGGCAGCATTTATTTGTGTATTTTGTCCAGTAAGGTGGGGAACGTGGTGGATTTCGAAACATATACTCCACATATTTAGGTGTTCCCCTTTTTGGCATCACAGATAGGCTTTGGTTTCTTAATGGGAATGGTGTTTCTGGACGTTCTTCTGCTTTAAAAAGGTAAATTTCACTTAATTTTTGTTCAACAAATAATATTTGTGAGTTTTCATATCAGAATATGTCATAAAAAGTAAAACTATCCCTGCATAAACTTTAAAAAAAATCAACTTTCAACAAAGCTTGAATTCTTCCAGTAAGACATGGTTAAAAAATATTTTCATTTTCACCCAAGTGTCATGTTGTAAATGTTGAATCTACCGGGTGGCAGTAAATACAAAATTTACAAGGGGTCATGTTGTAAATTTTGTATTTACTGCCACCCTGTAAATTCAAAATTTACAGCATGATACAAGCTTTCGTTCATTATACTTCTCTCTTTTTTTGTCCTGTTTGTCTGTTTATCTCTTTGTCTGCAAACTTTAACTTTGCCATAACTTTTGAACCATGAAAGATAGATACTTCATATTTGGTATGCGCACTCTACTAATTTTTCAAATGACACCAAGGTCAATGACTGTGACCTTGACTCTGACTTGTACGCTAGAAATAGCTTGTTCGTTCTTTTGCCATAACTTTTTGAACCATATGAGATAGAGACGTCATATATGGTATCCATACTCCAATAATCAAATTCTTTCAAATGACACAAAGGTCAATGATCTTGTGACCTTGACTGTGACCTATATGCTAAAAATTATAGCTTTTTGCGAACTTTGTTGCCGACGGGAGCATAGTGTTTCAAAATGAATCTTGTTAATTAAAGGATATCCTCTCCCCAACCATTAATGATAACCTTTAAGATAACCATTTATTAAAATATGCTTAAAACTAAAATCTTTTCATGCAACATTTTTCATTTTATGTTTCTAAGGGACAATTCAAGTTGGCCTTTATTTTCAACACAACAAGTACTTGTAGAAGCCCGCAATGCATTGCGACTCATTCATCAGTGGGAAAAGTAAACAGATAGCTATTTTACATGCAAATGTATTGCTGACGTCAGGAAATCTAGTGGTCTCGACCAATAAAGTAAATAGAAGAACTAAATACAACTTACCTTGTACTTGCACGGGTGGATACTCTTACGCAGAGTGTATACGGCGCGGATCTAAGAAGTCTGATTTTAATTAGATTGACTCTTACTTTTAATACAAACAAATAATTTTAACAATTGTCAGTTTGTTATGACTGGCAGATTATCATTATGCCCTGCAGTTTTTTCTTTTGTTACTACAGACGAGTGCTCGCTTTGCTTTCCTGAGAAAAGTCTTTTTCCGTTGTTTGTCCTTTTGTCAGTTTATTCCTCACATTTTTACTTCTTCTCCCAAACCAACTGGCCGTTCAAATTAGTTAGAAAAATGCACCATTAGAAAACATTCATATGTAATCATAAATGAAGCAGTGTTCGCTACGAGTGTTGGTAAAACTAGGTAAGCAAACCCGGGCCGGGGTTATTCGAGATTTTTCAATTTTCTGCCTTAATACTTTATCAATTGAACTTCTGAACTGATCCAATGATGGAAACTCCATATTTATTTTCTCTGGGCACACAGGAATAGCGGCCTCTTTTTTCAGACATAACTTTATATAATTTGCTGAATATGTTCATTGAAGGGCCGACCCACTCTTTGTAAGGGTAAGGGTCAAATAAGGTTAATGTAGTATAGTAGGGAAAAAATTGAATTTGATACTATAGAAGAAGTTGAATCTAACCCAAAACCCACCACGCCCCGAAATAGGATTTCAGTGGCGTCGGACAAAGTGAAAGTTGGGGCCCGGGGGGGGGGGGGCATAGTGTAAGAAATATTTTTTAGAACTTCAAAAAAAAAACTTGACAAGCCAAAAAAAAAAAGGAAATGTCCACTGTCCAAACACAAAAATCCTTTTTCGTGGAGGGGGGGTTGAACCTCAGTGCCAATATTTTTTTTCAAAACACCACCACTTTCCCCATTTTAAACCTATACTGCATCGTGTCCATGGAAAGTGGGGGGGGCTAAACCTACGCAGCAATGTTCAATGTCTGTTCTAAGTCTATCTTTGGAAAGATAGACTATGTATTTTCAAGTTTGGACAATTTCCTTGTTTTTTTTTTTGTTTTGTTTTTTTTTTTCTTCTTTTGCTTGTCAAGTTGTTTTCCGCCAGTTAGCTTGAATTTTTAAAAACGATGCTACGTCACTGTTCTCTCGATTGAAAAAAATATAACTCTATTAAAGTTATTTGTTGGATAATTGAATTCCAGTTTAATTGACATAAAAATGTTAAATATTTTGATACTAGTTACCCCTTATAAATTGATTTGTTTTTCAGGACCTTCCACTGAACTGAACTTTATTTCACGACAAATAGTAACTGCTCATGCGTGTGATTCTAGGGACGGGGCTTTGCAAAGGAGTGAGGAGCGTTATGGGTATGCGAAGTCGGAACCAGGCTACACCCCAGGCATACTAGAAACTCCCCGGTTTTCTTTTCTGCTATAATATTTTATGTTGAAATAGTACTTTTCAATAAAGAAAAGAAACATCTTTAGTACGCACCGTATTTTAAATCAGCCAGGAGAGCTAAAAAAAAATCTTAAAACTTGAAAATTCTATTTAGTGGAGGTGAAGGGGAGGGGGGGGGGATTTCGTCAACTTTTTTCAGTACCAAATATTACTCACTAAGTACATGACTTTTAAAATATAAATTGACTATTAGTGCTGCAACAAAAAGTGTAAGGGATGGGGGCAACAAGCCTTTCGCTGAACTTTGCCAGTAGTAAAAAGTCTGTTACGTTTAGGAAAATGTTTCGTGGCCACCCTCCCCTCTACCGGTGCTGGCGCGGATCCAGAAATTTTTTTCTAGGGGGGGTCCACCCCTGTCAAAAAAAAAACACCCAATCCCAGAAATTTCTTGACAAGCAAAAAAAAAAAAAAAAAAAAAAAAAAAAAAAAAAAAAAACAAAAAAACCAAAAAACCCCCCAAGCAAAAAAAAATCCTATTTCGTTGGGGGGGGGGGGGGGGGGGGGGGGAGGGGGGTTGTAGTCTATGACTTCTATTGCCTCAAATCCCTCACTTTTCATACCCATTTCACACATATTCATGTTTATGTTTACCGGGGGGGATTCCAAGGTAATTTTTTTCTTGCTTTAGTATATACATTTCTTAAACTTGTAAATTCCAGGGGGAGGGCTGACCCCCGACCCCCCTCTAGATCCGCGCATGTGGTGAAACTTACCCCATAGGAGGTCGTTCAGACGGAAGTCAGTATATATATTGAGACTTGGGGGTGTGATTGTACATTGTATAACTTCCCTTTAAATTGGAGAATTTTTAACTCAAATGGAGAAGCCACCTCTTGCCGATGGAGAGCTGCAAATTTGTCCTATATACCCGGCACTTATAGCGTTGAGCAGTGAGGGATCTTTTTTCGGGCCAGCACCTACTGCGATACGGGACCTCGGATAATACGGTCTAGATCTCATCCGAAGGACCGAACTCCACGTCCAATAGTGGGACTATGATTCGAACCCACGACGTATTGATCGACTCCTTACTACTGTGTTTCGTGACTCTAGAGCAGACGCCGTAACCATAGTGCCACGCAGGCGACTGCACCCGGGTGGGGTGGGGGCTGCGTCCAGGGGGGGGGGAGTCATTATCCATTAATACTCGTGAAAATTATCTATGTTTAACTAAATGGTTAAAATGATTTAATTATTAACCACTATTAAAATGATATCATTAAAAAATTTATTCATATAGGACGGATAACTTTTCTTCAAAAACTGAAAACGTTAGTATATAAACATTGTTTTACGATTTAAAAAAAACTATTCGGGGGAGGGGTTGCTATAAAGGGGGACGAATTGCTATATACAGCGAGATTTCCCACGGAAGACTAGCTATATATTGAAACTTCCCCGGGGGAAGTCTCACTGTATAATCTTCCGAAGGAAGCATCACTATGTAGACAGTCTTCCAGGGGAAATATTTCCATCTTCCGAGGGAGTGGCACTATCGGGTACATACCTGAGCTTATAACAAACATCATTTGAAAATTTAAGTTCGATTGATAAAGTATTAAGGCAGAAAATTGAAAAATCTCGAATAACCCCGGCCCGGGTTTGTTTACCTAGTTTTACCAACACTCGTAGCGAACACCCCTGCCACCTAGCGTTATAATGCGGCACTAAATTTTGACAACTTGTATTCGTCTTCATTGAATATGCTTCATTCTTTGTGTGATTGAATTCACGTTCGTAATAGAGATAATCATTTAAGAAACTGAATCAATTTAAAAGAAAGTAAAATGAACTTACAAGAATAAAGCAACATAGAAGTAAGGGCAAAATGAAGAAGGATAAAAGTCAAAGTGAAATGTAATAAAGACGAATATGAAAACAATAAAGCGACATATAATTACAACAATAACAAAGCATAAAGAAGTGGGAAGAATAAGAATAAAAGCAAGATACATAGACTTTTGGCGGTAATCCCCTTCCATACAAGTAGCCGACTTGATAAGCAAGCATTCTGGTATAATGTTTAGAATTATTTTTTATTACGCTCTATAAAAGATTCAAGTTTACCAAAGAAATATACAGAGAAAATTCAGTTTCTGTATAGATAGCTTTGTAACCCAAAATGAAAAGTCAAAAACATTCACTAAGATGTCTAGGAGAGAAGAATACAAGATGCATAACTGTTTGGCAAAATTATTGTTGCTATTATTAGCGCTACCGTTTCTTCCTTGAATCTTAATTCAAAAATAGTGAATAATTGTAAATTAATAACGTTATTATTGCTAAAATGAGTCAATGACATAACTTATAAAATGTAGAATATAAAGATGCTTTATCTAGAAGCACACTTAAAATAAAATCTGGCAAACGATGAAAATTAGAACGTTTCAAAAGTTCAAAAGACAGAAAATCCGAATTTGATGCATTAACAATATACTAAAAAATCCAACTCTTTATCTGCTGGCTAACCACCACCTGCATACATAATAATTTGGACCTCCAAACATCAGAGGTGAGATCAGGTGCCATGGAAGAGTGACCACCCACTACCTAAAGTTCACACCCGCCGAGTGCTCTTTGTCATGATCGGGAAATAAGGGAAAATCCGTCGTCAATTTAGTGTATAAATAATGGACTAATAATAAGTATGAACAAGATGTGTTTGTAAAACACTGATGCCCCCGTATGGCAACATTGCAAAGATTAAGCTTTTCTTAAATGCAAATTTAATTAATTGGTACCTAAAGTAGGGTATTCTCATTGGAAAACGATTGTGACATTTGAAAGTAAGCTAATGTTAAAGTGTTTTAATAAGTACGAAAATCTCCAAGGTCAAGGTCAAACGGTCAATTTAATTAGCCACATAAAATACTTATGTAGAGCATGAATGCCCTTGCCCTAACCGTTCAGAAGTTATGGTCAACGTTCAATTTCTTAAAAAGTAGGTCAAACTCCAAGGTCAAGGTCAAAGGGCCAATGTTATTGTTATCAAATGAAAGGTCTTGTCATAAGGATCAAATATGTAAAGTATGAAAGCACTAGCCCTAACTCTTTAAAAGTTATGGTCAAGGTTTGCTTTTTTAAAGTAGGTCAATCTCAAAGGTCAAGGTCAAAGGGTCAAAGTTCTTGGTATCCAATGAAGGGTCTTCTCACAAGGATAACATATATGAAGTATGAAAGCCCTATCCCTTATCCATCAAAAGTTATGGCCAAGGTTAAAGTTTTTTCACAAGTATGGAAATCTACAAGGTCAAGGTCAAAGGGTCAAGGTTGTTGGTATCCAGTGAAAGCTTAAGGTCTTTTAACAAATATTACAAATGTGAAGTATAAATGTCCTGTTGTCTACTGTTCAAAAGATATGGCCAAAGTAAAATTTTAAAATTTTCACGTAAAAGTGGGTCAAACTCCAAGGTCAAGGTCAGAAGGTCAAATTTGGTGGTACCCAAAGAAAGGTCTTGTCACAAGAAATACACATATGGAATATGAAAGTCATAGCTCCACTAAATCAAAAGTTATGGGCAAGGTTAAAGTTTTTGCGGACAAACAGACAAACAGAGAGACAGAGAGACAGACAGACTGACAGAGAGACAGACAGACACGACAAAAACTATATACCCCCGAAACTTCGTTTACGGGGGCATAAAAACGTCAGTCAGCATTTAACTCAATGACTAAATTGTATAATAAAGAGTGTAAGAAGCTCAGTCACTTATATATATATTTTTTTTTTTCTGATAAGATTGTAATTGTAGTAACATTACATGTTTAAGTTTCTCAGATGGAAGAAAGCAAAAATAACTTAAGGGATACTTACATTCTTCAATGTTAGCAAGTCTTTATTTTTAGAGTCTAGAACAACCAAAATCTTTTTCAGATTGGAGTCCCTAAATTTCTTTGCAAATGCGTCAATCCCATAAACAATGCTTTCAACTGCTTCTTTGATTGGGAATTTCACCGAACCTGTTCCAATTGCAGGAAGTGCAATGGAAAGTATGGTTTTTGTTTCGTGTGCATGTTTAAGACAGTTGTATACAAAATTTTCCAACACCTTTAATAAAAAGAAAAATAAAATAAATTTTACCTACAATCACTGCTTTCGAAACATGTTTTGGTATAATGACGTAAAATGAATACTTGTACGTTTTTGAAACAATATCTATTAGAATATCTAGATATGAAATTCTTTTAAATGTCTCAACACAAAACCAGCATCAAATACTAACATTGCTTGGAGTTTGACTTTGATTCAACCTGGAATACCAGCCGGGAAGGTAACCATGATATACTTGTTTACACTTCAATTGATGTCCACCAGTAATAACACAATCACCATAATTTAATTCTGTCGTAAGCTTATTTGAAATTTCTGTTGCCATTCCTTCGCCAGCTGCTTTCAAAATAGCAGATGCTACAGCTGTATTTGCAGTTGGTTTCAGATTACTTGTGGATGTGTTCACGAGCACATCGACCTGAAATTATTTATGTTTATGAAGAAAACAAATCGTGATCAAGCTCAACCATCCATTGAAACAATACCAACTTGGAGCAGAGCAAACTCGGACCGGTAAAATATCGAAGGTGGGATCAAGTGCCACGGAAGAGGTGGTGTCCCCTGTCGACCGGTCTTTACCATGTTTACAGAAAAATCAGAAGTCAAAATGTATCGTGAAAATACATGTAATGAACCTACAATATCTACGGTTGTCAGCATTTGATTCAATGATAGATTAAATTTGCTTCCAAGGTCAGTTTTTAGAATTTGTGAAGTGTTGGTTTTTAAGGGAGACATTATCAACTTTATTGTTATTATAGTTTTAGAAATTGCTCATCCGTAAAGCATGATCTGGCGTATGCACGTTTGAGGGACATTAATTCTATATGGAGTTAATAAGAATATAATGGTATATTGCAAAGGGGTAGTTGACATATAAAAGTTGAAATCATGTTGATCATAAAGTTCTGTGATTAGATTTTTTATCATTAACGTCATTTAATAAAATATCTTAATTTCAAACAGTTTTGTGTCAGACTCTGTAGTATTATTTTGGATCAAAGAATTTATTTAACCAAACTGTGAATGATCATGAACATAATTGAATTATGAATTGTCAACGATATCTAATTGATGAATTGATTGTAAATTGATTGATTGTATATTGTTTAACGTCCCTCTTAAGAATTTTTCAATCATATGGAGACGTCACCGTATTGCGACTTCAATTTTAGACCTATACTCGGCAGTCAGGGCCATTGAGCGGAGAGGGTTCTTTAACGTGTCAACACCTACCATGACATAGGACCTACGTTTTTAAGGTCATATCCGAAAGACACGTGACTTTCACTGCTAGTGCCAAGCGCTCGGCGAAGGAACAGTCACTATCTATGTTTACGTCTTATGTTTGACGCGGCGCCGCGAACGAGAATCGAACCCGGGCCTCCAGATCACGAAGTGAACGCTCTACCACTAGGCTACCGTGATCGGTAATTGGTGAATTGAAGGCTAAATCAATATATTTCTTCTTTTAAATATACTTCATATGAATATAAAAATATCCCTGCTACTCTTGTGTCGCTGTAGCATCCATATGGGTTCCAACAGATAGTTGGAAGACTCAATTTCACAAACTACATAAAGGTATTGTATATATATATATATCCAGGGTTCTCCACAAAGGGTTTTACCATGGAGGTGCGCCATGGTTAAATTTGTGTGCGCCATGGTTAAATTTACTGCGCCATGGTTAAAATCCGCGCCCGCCACGATTAAATTTTAGAATTTTAAACTTGCATTTTCAGAGATGGCACCTGCAATATACTATCTGAGTAGTTAATTGTGTTTATACAACGTGGTGTGAAGCCCCCCAAGCGCATGGGGACAGGTAATAGTTCTAATTACCCACGGTCGATCAGCTGCGAATGTGCCGTGAAGCGTGAGAATTCATGAGTTGAAGGTCGGTCGGCCAGCTGTTTTAACAGTATGAGTAATTACCTACGATATAAACTACTGTTAACGGGGCTCTGTATTTTTGTATTACACGTTATTTTGTTGAATTGTAACTGTGTTCAGTTCACTACATAATAATTAAACGATTTACAAGAATTCAAAGACATAGTAACGATGTCTCGTAGGTAGTAGACACGCATCCGAGCCAGGGCAGTCGAAACTAAATAGTTTTTTTAACGTCGACAATCTTGATAATATTAGCCCAAAAACACTCTGTAAAAAATTCATATTCCTCTGTATTTAATCAATTCCCCATGCTATGTTTTTAAGCTTTAACTTTATTATCGTTTGTGCATAGGACCTAAGTGTCAATCGCCGTTTTATTTTTAGAGTTACTTCCCGTTGTTATGAGACGTCGCGTGGCGCTATTTTTAGCACTGGGGCACGTGGAGAAGTAAACAAAACTTGGTGAAAAACGCATTATCTAGAAAAATAGAATGCTTAGAAAAAAGGACACTTATCCAATTGTTCCTTTGTGTGTTTGCTTAAAAAAATACTACCCATTCATCAGTTTTAGTCATATTTAAACAAAACGTTTCATACAACAGGCTACAACAATTCTTACAATTATTAATTTCTGAATAATATTGCCATGGTTAATGTATCAACAATTTTTTTTAATTCCCTCGGAAGATTACTACAGTTTTGGTCAAATTCTGGTACATTTATGAGGTAAAATACAGGATAAATCCTTTTCAATTTTAATTCTTATTTTTTTTAAACTTTAAACAGAGTTAGTTATTCCATTGTTTTGTGTTGCAATGGTAAAGTTTACAAATTGTAAAACCAGTCATTGATTAATGAAGATTAGGAAGTCTAACGCGCATTCGTGTTTTCAGTCACATTTTGTCTTCACGCAGCTTCCTCCATGGTTAAATTTTCAAATGTGGAGAACCCTGTATATATAGTATTGGACATTCTGTATGTAGCTAATTTAGTTATATTTTTCGCATTCTTACCTGTTGTTCCAGAAGGTTTCCCACTATGATCTCAACTGAAAGGCTACATATACGCTCAGTGAAGACACTAGCTGATGTACCTTTAATAGTATCAAAATGATTTGTTAGGAAAATGCCATAGATTCCCAGATTTTTTTTCTTAACTTTTTATTTCTTTATATTGGTATTTTACATACCTTGGTGGCAATTTAGCTCCTTTAGCAGTTTCTGAAGTAAAATGATAAAAAAAAAACTATTTATATAGTATACTAGGAACGATCTAGAAAAGAACAATTATACTTAATACTTATTACCGCTCGAGTCTCCTTGCATTGGCTATGCCCTCTGTATATGACGACAATTATTTTCTTTATAGTTGAATGTGAATATTTACTTGTTGCCCATTTTCTTAGATAATACACTGTGGATTGTATAACTTTTTCAATAGGATAGTTAAGATTTCCAATGCCCAAAGTGGGGAATGCAATAGAGTTTGCTCTCTTTTCACGCGCCACTTTTAAGCAGTTCCAAATTGTTGTCTTCAAGATCTTAAAGATGAAAACTTCAAGTATATTTTGAACTATTCTTTAAACCTGCTTTGTTAAGGAAAAAGTATATATCATTATGACTGATTGATGTTGTATAACGTCCCTCTCGAGAATTTTTCACTCATATGGAGAGGCCTTTATTTAAGGTCAAGATATAGTTAATGATTTTAGACTGTCTTTTTGGTGCTACCCTAGATTATGTCGTCATGATTGATTAAAGTTTAATTTTCCCGTACTTTTCAGTTGTTTAGAAATTATGTAGAAATGAAGCATTTCTACTGTATTCAATTTGAAATGATGTCAGAAGTAACCCCGATATCTATATTCAATTTATTATCATTTTGGAATAGATGTTTGGAAAAAATGAAAAACTGTTTTCTGAGAGTGTAGGAAAATTGCTGCATTTCTTTTAACGAAGATGGATCTTGACCTTAATAAACCATAGGAAAATATTCATTAATGGAAAAACTACAAATCTACTACCTAAGCGATAATCTTTAATATATCATGTCTCAATATAATACAAATATAATGTTCAGTTGATGGCAATAGAAACACTAGTATTAGTACCAAGACAAAAAACAAAATTAAATTCAACATTATGTAAGCAGACTTACTATCTTCACTTTCTATATTTCTACCTCTGAATAGATGTTTCCTCTTGTCGAAAAAAGTCAGATATTTTTTTTTTTTTATGAAAGTAGTGTTAATTTAGCTGAGAGCAGGAAAAATAAGTTGATGAAATAATTTGATCAAATTTAGTATGATGTAAATTGAAACGTTTTTTTAGAGGGAACAAGAAGACTTGAGCATACGTTAATTGGGTTTTGAGAAGGTTCACCCCATTTCGGTAGAGTAGTGTGAAACACCCATCTACATGGAAGTCTATATCCTTCTGTTACCGCCACTTCGCCATCCTGAATTCCGTTCGGGTATTTATCCTCACATTCGTCCTGGATTTCCTTTCCAGCAGCCTTCATCATGGCCTCTGCCAACCCTCCATTTTGTAATCTCAAATCATTTGATCCATTACATACTAGAACATCAGCCTTGAAATAGTATGAATTATTATATTCATTTTCAAAGACGATGAATTCAAATAATGGTTAAAGACATCAAAACGCTTTTTTTCTACAACCAGAGTTACTAAGTAAAAGGACTTTTTTCCGAGATATAAATCAAGGATCACTGGCTAAAACCATCAAAGAGTAAGAGCACACATCAAAAATATATTCAAGTGAGTATTGAAATAAAGAGAAAATTTCAGAGATCTTGAACATTAAGATAATTCGTAAAATATACTAAGAATCAAGGTTACATCACGGTTACGTGGAACTTGATTAAGCTCTAAATCTTGCAAGGTATAACATTGAATGGTTCTAACAATATGCCAAAAGTACAATGTATTTCTGAGAATTGAACTGTGGATATATAGTGGGTTGTAAAATTATGAATGTATAGACTATTTTAATAGCTTCCAGAAGAAGTGGTTTTCATTTTTTAAAATGGTTGAATTTCTTTAGAAGGGTCAGCTAAGTGGAAATGGCATTTTCCGTTTTCGTTGCAATAATAGTTCTCTGTTTATTTACCTAATTTATTCTTTTGACAGAATCAACAATCGGCATTGTATTAAAATTGTATTCAATTTTCATTGATTTCTAGAAACAAAACGACAGAAAAGGCTGTACAAAACAGTTTTTGTGCTGTTTTTATTTCTTTATTTTTTTGTTCTCTTTTTTGGTACAATTGGTACAATTGAATATGTATGATAAATTATAATAAAGCTGATATAGATAAATATACAGCGCACTGAATACTAGTAGCTTTAGTATAGAAACTTTTCACTCAAGAGACCAGCAGTATATATCACCAAGGAGAGAATATGGCAAGATGAAAGGGGACAGGCCAAAAACAAAATGGCAAAGCACTGAAAGAGATAGGGCTGACTTGGAAGGCAATAGAAACACAAACAAAAGATAGGACTGAGTGGAAGGACTGTGTGGCTGCCCTATGTACCACCTGACATAAAGAGGCCTAAGTAAGTAAGATTGAATAGTTTTTCCTTTATTTCTCGTTAAAACAGATTGCAAATTATATCCTTTGCTAATGTAATTAGATCATTAAAGGCAGAGATTTTTTACCGGGTGGTAAATTCCAGGTGAGGGAGGGGTTTATTTTGTACAGGTGTGAATGCCTTAGAGGCTAGCAGTCTACCTATGGCCATCTGTCTCCTAATCCCTATACACAGGAAGTGATTTAATACACAGTGAAATACCCAGATTTACCTGTGTTGGGGATTTTGAGACAATTGTGAAATTAGTATTATTAAGAGTTTTTTCAATTTTATTAAGGTCTTCCGTCTCCAACGGAAGACCTTATAGTGATTGTATTGTTTCTTATTATTCTTATTCTTTTTTTGACAAAATTTTGTGCAGGCGATTTCTCGAAAACTATTCAGCGGTTTTTCATGAAACTTTCACAAAATATGAGTTATAATATGAAGTTGTTACTTCCGATGCAAAATTTGGAAAATTCGCTTCTGGTGCCAAGTTATGGACAATTTCCTGATTTTAAAATGCAATTTTGTCGCCCCTTTTTATCGAAAACGGTTTAGGATATGAACTGGAGACTTCTTGGAGATGATAGATCATGACTTTGTGGTTTGCAGAATCCCTTTTCGTGCGTCGTCAGTACTTCCGGTCGTTACGAGATGCAAATTTAAAAAAATCGTATTTTCTAACTTTTTTGTTTTTCAGTATTTTTCATTTATTTTCGGCTTGTTGAAAGAAACCCTTCTAATAATGCTTACTATATAATTTGTTTGAATGGTGATAAGTCTAAACTCTAGATATTAGCATTCAAAAATCTGAAGCGGGTCCAAAATGGCGGCTGTCTCTGTCAACGCCGACATTTCGCAATAGGTGTTTACGGAGGCAGCCGAGCGTTTGTTTGAACGAAAGTAACATAAGAATAAATGAAAGGCAAAGGAATACTTGGATTGTCACGTCGTATTTATGTTGCAGTTCTGTGTCAAACTAACGTCTTCTATAATTGGTTTTGGCTGGTTTTCAAACTAGAAAAAGAAAAGACTAAATGTGCAAATGAAATTCGATACCTTATATCTCTTGTGCATCGCCGAAAAACAGATCTTAAATCATACTTATAAGTAATGCTTTCTCAAAAAAGAATATCAATTAATTTTGTCAATATAAATATAAACCACTGTTTTTCTTATGCACACTTGTGTCATATTAAATTAATAAATTAGACAAAAATAAGAAAACGTTTTTTTTAAAGATCGCTTCATGGAGTTTATTTTAGCATTCTTGTCTCAAAGACCTGATTCAAGTTATTGAGCATAAACGATATCGGATTCCTGACAGTCGTAGGGCGAGCCATGTTTTCCGGCGAAACTTTTCAACCTTTTTCGATTAACTATTCGGGATAGTTCACTTTGAGGATAAACAGGAAATTGAAAAAAATTCATAACCGTTTCACCGCTTTAGTGTTACATGCATATGTACAATATGGAATTTGTAAAATGTGTTAAACATACTTTCTAAACTTCGATTCTTAGGCTATAAGAACGTTCTTTTCTTTTAATTTCATTAAAGCTATCACTCCTATTTAATAGAACATTCCAAAGAAAAGGGGCGAAGATTAACTCATGGCGTTTGGCGCTACAATTTGAATAGTGACCCGCCTTTCATAATTTTAAGAGAGAAGCACTGTATCATTGATATATACAAGTAGATTTAGAGTAGAGGTCCCGATAGCGTAATATTTAGTGTTTTGGAATTTCATGTGGCGACTTTGGTTCAATCCCCCTTGTGTGCAAATCTTTTTTTTTTTACTTTTCAAATCGATTTTACGTTTTCTTTCCGGAATCGGACGGAAGACCTCTCGTTGCTCGCAACGAGTTTCATCTAGTTTTGATTATTTTTTTATTGATTATTTTTTTACTCTTTGAAAATACCCCTACCCATTTAAAAAAAAATATTATTTTATCATACTATAAAGTAAAGATTGCTTTAGATGTTAGTGTATGTGATTATTTTAAGAAAAAAAAACTCCTGTAACAACCAGATTAGACTTTTAAAAATTCATTCCTCCCCAGGATCCCATCTATTAATAAAATGAACAGAGAGTTGAGTTAACTACATTTCAATAAGAAAAAATATCTAGGTTTATCCTAACCTCAATAAGATTTCGTCACCATGAAACATGCTAAATAAGATTGCTTGTAAATTCTTAACTAAATAAAAAAGGAAAACCCATGACCCATGAAACATTTTTAAATTCAATTACTTCACACAGTGCTGCTCTGAACTTTGTCAATACCATCTCCACTTTAGGTTTACCATTTAGCATATTAAAATTAATATCAAAATTTCATTTGAAAAAAAAAAGTTTTATGTGCGAAAGGTTATTTTTTTTCAAAATGTATATTATATTATCATACTTTCAAATACTAAAGGTATATCTAATTCATATATTATCAATATAAAATTTCCATAGTAATTATGCAGTTTTCTGTATACCATGTTCAGTAAACATCAAAGGATCAAAAGTTAATTAGAAGGTCACCGCGAGTCCCAATCAAGGTGTACAGGGTATACACAGGGACCAGTAAGTAAGTGTCAATCAAGTTCCAGCATCCAATGATGGACTTTTACGCACTTGATTGACAGAGCTACCCAAACCAGGTATTTTTGAAAATCTCTGCCTTTAAGCAATATTTTGAAATGCATTATTTTGCTTACTTTTACTTCTGAAAGATTTCCAGTAACGATATGTACATCAAAGTCTCCATACCATTTCGGAAAATAATCTACAATGGGGTTATTGATTCGTAACAATATAATCAGACATGACATAATTTCAACATCAATGTTTTCAAAAGAGATATGCTATAAAATACATCATATATTGGTCTTTTTCCTAACAATACCTGCCGTAATGTTCATACAGTAAATAAATTTTATTGTCAAATCATTTGTTTTTGAATTACTCTGAATGGCAATTGGAAAAATATGAGTTAAAATGTACCTTGTTCTTGCTGTAACAATTGTTCTAATTCCTGTTAAAAAAATAATAAAAAATTGTCAGATATAAGCTTCAATATCTATAACACGGTATACCTACACATTTGAGGTCACAGCAAAACAAAATCTGTATATGAAACACGTGTCGCATGCTCTTACATCATTAAGGACAAAAATATTTTTTTTTACATTTCCATATAAGCATATTTTGAAAAATTAAAACAGATGTTAAGAGAAAAAAATAGTGTTTATCATATAAATTGTTACAATGAAATACAAATTCAGGATAAATTAAACAATTGAATCTATTTTTTAGGAAATGTAATTAAATATTTTTACATGTGCATAATTGCCTAGAGACCAGGCAATATTTATCTTCAGAGTGGGATCGTAGCCAAGCACAGTTTTTTTTTTCTTTCTTTTTTTTTTTTTTTTTTTTTTTTTTGGGGTAATCATACGGATGGGAAAAACTTGGAGTTTGTACACCCTTTTAGATTTTGTAAGGACATATTTTTATTAGAAAAGCAATACATAATTTTTGCATTCTTTATTTTTAATACTTCTGATCAAATAAACACCACAATCGATTGACTGACCTTAATATGATGATGAATGATATCTGTGAATGTGAAAGTCTTTTTTACAATATTTCATATTTGATTATGAGAGTCAATGCTATCTAAAGAAAAGCAGAACCAAAATTGCCAAATTTCATAGAAAACAAAAATTGAAGGAATTACTTACTTTATTAAGATGATGAATAAGATATTGCATCTGATCCCACATTTTAATTTGCTTTGCTCTACAAGTGATAAGCACCTTCTCCAGCCTTCTAGATAGCTGCACTAACTAAGGTTATATTAGATTTGACCTTTTCATGCTAAATGAGGATAACGACATATACATTTTTTTCCTTTCCGTAGGGTTTGGGATTATATGAAATTGAGATTTTAATCACTAAGTGAAAGAGAATATATTAAATATGTAATGATTATTTTATATTGCATTTCTATTGTTATGAATTACGAAGTTAGGTAGCCAAATACTCGGGACAAGATCCGTGTAACCAATTAATGTTTAATCTATGATCAACCACTATTCGTTATCTTAAATTTTTCAATTTATCATCGAGTAAAATGCTGAATGACATTTTTCATGCTAATTGTTAGTCCATTATTTAAATTATTTGAATTGACAACGGATTTTTCCGTTATTTCCCGATCATGACAAGAAGCACACGGCGGATGTGACAGGTCGGCAGGAAATGCTCACTCCTTCATGCCACCAGATGTTCACTTGTTCATGCCACCTGATCCCACCTCTGATGTTTTGAAGGTCCGTGTTTGCTCTTCTCCTAATTTGTATTGTTTTATGGATTTTTTTTATCTTGAATACTGTTCGTTATCTCCATATGTTTCATTTCAAATTCGAAATAAAAATGAATGGTTATAATCATTTTTTTTTTCTTCAATAAATTAAACATGGCACTTGGAATCTTGGATACTTCTTCTGAACAATTTGAGTATAACTTACTGATTCTAATTTTGAAGAACTTGAGTTTCCGTCAAAAATGACAATGATGACTTTTTCCAAAGTGGACCTAGGATTCTTGGCTGCAAAGTCAATGATGTTCTGGACAATAGCTGCTGTAGAATCAGAACTTGGATATCCAAGAGAACCAGTGCCGAGCACAGGAAATGCAATTGTGCTGGCCTGCATCTCTGAAGCCTTTTCCAAGCACTTCATCACATAATTTTCCAATATCTGAAAATTTTTAAAACATATTGTTTAAGGTAATTATTTAAAAAAAAAACAAAGGCAAAATATATATGTCGAATAACAAAAAGTAATTATTAACACTTAGTAAACTACATGTACGTATACTTTTGAAACTCGCTTCAGATTTATATGCAACCTTTGATGTTCAAAATATACTTTGACTTTCTTTGACCTTTTCAGGATTGAGTGTCGAGTACTTTTATTTTAAAATCTAAATAATTGATACATGTAATTATTATTTTAAAAATATGGCATTGGAAAGTTTAATCAATAACCGTGCTAACATCTGTCCGACGTTCCTAGTCCATGCATATTTTGTTACACAAAATCAATTCTGTCGAAGAAGATGCCAGTCTTGAACACATATTACATATTTTAAAATATACATTTAAGATTAACTATGCGCTGAATCATGTTCTGATATTTCAAAAAAATATGCTGTATAATTTTTTTCATATCCTATATTTCTTCAATTTAATACAGTTTAAATGGCATAAAGTAACCTGTCTTATTATTATATTAGAATTTTTAATTGAATGTTTCTGTTAAAATGTTTTAAAAAATCGTTTAAAGTTTTAAACAAGTTTGAATATTCTTTAGGTTACCTTTTTCGGATTATGTGATGAGGTTCTCCATTTAGGAAGAGTTATGTGAAAAACAAATTCACAACAAAGATTGTATCCCTCAGACACCGCTATTTCTCCAGTTTTAATTCCCTTGCCATACTTTCGGTTTAGTTCTTCTTGCAACTCTTCCCCTGCTGCGTTGACTATATGCTTTGAAATGACGCCGTTTCTGAGAAGCAAATCAGCTGGTCCATTCGATACGATGATGTCTGCCTTTGATGTAAAAAAGATGTTCTTGATTGATCAACCATTACGTTTGTGGTAAGTTGGGGAAAACTCTAGATTTCAAATTGTGTTTAAGACAGCATGAGATTTTATGTTTTAGAAATTTCAAATTCAATGAGAATTCTTGGAGAATTTGTGGGTCTCTCTATATGAGCGGGTGTATGTTCTACCTAGAATAGTTTCTAAAATGAGGCAAACTATTGAAAACAAGTCGATGAAACAAGAATATCAACAGACTCATTTACAGGCATCGATTTTCACATTTTATGCTCGAACCAATGACCTTGTCAGCAAATACAATCTACATTTAGGTCAAATATTCTGATTATCATCATTATCACAAGTATCATTCTAATTGTTAGACGAGTATTTATACAATGAATATCTGGAGACATTTTCCGTTTTTCTCGATCATGACATGAAGCACTCGGCAGATAGCACTGGTCGTCAAGGGATGCTCATTCTGATACCACTTCTTATGTTTTAGAGGTCTACATGTATGTTTGCTCTGCTCCTGATTTGTACTGTCTATATGACCTCTGAGCTATAAAAGTTTTCGTTATCAATATTTTTCATTCACCGTCTTTCGGCTATTTACTACGTAAATCATTTATATGTTTTAATATTAATATTTTTTATATTTAACAAAGTATATAAATATCAGCATACAATGCACTTTTCTCAATTCTACAGTCACTGTGGTTTCATTTATTCCGAGGGTGGGATGGGGGTTGGGGGGATGGCGTTTACTTTCAAATTCTGATGCTAGCATACATTCTCCATTAAGGGATTGTATTGCTAAACTTTGGTTATTTAATCTAGCATTTGTTTAATATTGACATATGGACATAATCCGTTATTGTTTTCCATTATTTGATCAAGCAATCCCATGTATTTGACTGACATTTTCAGAATATCGTTTATTATGTTTAACATACTGTGTATGAAATCTGTGGAGATAACGAAGTATTCGAACTCAAAAGTTCATTAAACATTACAGAGTAGGAGCGGAGCATACACCGACCTCCAAAACATCAGAGGTGGGATCAGGTGCCACGGAGGATTGAGCACCCCCTCCGACCGCTCACACTCCCCGTGTGCTTCTTGTCATGATCGGGAAATAACAGGAAAAAATCCATGGTCAACTCGGTGTGTTAATAGTGGCCTAACAATCAGTATGAAAAAGCAAGTCAGTATTTGACTTAATGATAAATTGTATTTGCTGACACGGCAATTGTATCTAACATAGAACTTTCAAAATGATAAATTTAGACGAGACTGCTGATATATTTGCTTCATCAACTTGTTTGTTAATAATTTACCACGTTTTAGAAATTTCTTATACATAGAACATATTCTCTGAGATATATAAACTCCGTATGCAGATGATGAAAGTACATTGCTGCTTATTAAGTAAGGGAAGATGACGATTGAAAAGTTCAGTCATCACTTTTTATCATAAAGCTTTATTGTTAGATAATCATTGATGTCTTTTCCTACTAAAATATCCAAATATGAAACAGATAGAGAATTTGTAGTATCTTTAATTTTAGACTCACCTGGAAATATCGCATCGACATAAGAATGGAAATAACTATTGTAAATTGACAATATATCTAAATGTCGAGTTGAAATCTACAGCAATTGCTTCGAATTCTTCTTTTCACATAAAACAATTTAACATATTCTGCTTCATATGAATACAAAAACAGGTCTGTTAATAACGGGGCACAATTGGTATCCATGGGAATTCCAGTAGATTGTAAGAAGACCTGATCTCCAAACCCAAAGTTTCGGAATCCAATATACATTATTTTGAAAATTCTGATTCATTTTGGTTGTTTGGAATATTAAAACTATTCAAAACTGAAATGTGATTTGATTTTGAAGAATTTTATCCTTAGAAAAAACTATGAGTATAATTTGAATTACCACTTGTAGAATGAAATCCAAGTTCCGTATCATGTTCTTAAGAAGACATAATTATAATAAAGTATATTTCTACCCCTACATGCAAGATGAGTTATGTAAACATGCAGGAAAAGTATGACAACATACAAGATTGTCTAAATGCAAATTAATTATCGTGAAATGCTAGTAATTTAGAAATCTAGAGAATTTAATTTAGATAAAGGAGAGTTCACTTATTTATGCCATGTACTGACATGAAAGATACATAACAATATAATTACGTTGACATGCAATACAATTATGTAGACATGCGATATAAAATTGTAGACAGGCGAATTAAATATGTTTAAATGCAAGATATATGTCAATATGTACCAATAAATGAATATTTATGCCAACATCGCATCTAATAATTAATTATATTTACGTCATTTGCTTATGTCAACTTGTGACATTTAATGACAGTAAGATATTTATCATGTCAACATGCGTGATGATTTTGTTGTCATGTAGGAAAATCATGTAGACAACTTATTTTTCTCAAGATAACCGATTACAATTACTGATTTTAGTTTTTTTCAAGTTCCTTGTTAACACACGTACAATTATCTCGCATATTGATATTAATATTTTGCATGTGAGCATACCTTACTCACTTGTTGACTTAAATAAGCCGCACGCCAACAGAATTATGTTGCAGCTTACGGCGGAGTAAAGGATGCTATACTTGTGTTATATCTTTGTATATGGTCTTATATTTTATCGTCCTATCAACATTCTAAAAAAACTTCACTTCACTCGAGATTTAGAGAAAGCGTAGTTACCGTGTATTTGCTATCGAGTACGATTAGAGGGTACAACAAATTTTTATATTTATTGATATGATTAAAAAAATATCTTTTTACGATTGATATCTGAAAATCAACATAATATTTAAGTCAATTAATTTTAACCAATAAAATCTATTGTACAAAAGAAGTTGCCTTTAATCATATAAAAACATCTTTATACAATGCAAAATATATGTATAAATAAGGGTTTATTACACTTCACATGTCGATACGTAGAAAAAATGTAAAACTATATACAAAGTTATAACATAACAAGTATAGAGCTCTTTACGCTTCTGTATGTGTAGTATCTTGTATGTATTGTGTGTATAAAAATCAGATTCTCTAAGAAGATTCGTCACATACATTACCTTGTATATATTGACGTATACTTTTCTTGCATGTCAACACATGTCGACATAAAATAATTTATAATGCATATAGGGGATAGGGAGACATACGCCACCAAAATATCAATATTATTCTTTCATTTTTATTTTTTATTTGAATAAAAAAATATTGAATTTCTGTCTAATCTTTTGCTATATTTTTGTCAGAGATTATCTGCAGATAATATGCAGGTGAATAAACTTGAATTTTTTTTTGTAAAGAAAGTCACTATGTTTACCCGAACTTCCTGTATTTTTCCAATTAGCAATTCAACTTCTAACGCCCCAACTTTAAAAGTCATTCTACCTGCAAAACAAAAAGTTGGAAATACAACAAAAAAGAAAAAAAAAATTGAAAAAAAAACCTTGAATAAACATGAACAGAATTAGTTCAAGAAGCATGCATATATTGAATGAATAATCAGAGTGCATACTTTAATCATTGATGCATATTTTTGGCAGACTGAATCATACAATACATGTAGTATTGGAGCTGACCGTTGTCAGAGCTACATAAGTCTAATCCAGTTTTTCCAACATGCCCTCATAAGAAGAAACATCAGATATCAAAATTACACGTTAATTATTGAACATTTTCGAAAAATATCTTTTTATTCCACCTGCAAAGTGGCCATCAATAAATCTTAAACATTTAAAGATAATATACTCTGTTGAAACTTTAACACAGATGTGCAAAGTTTTTCAATAATTGAAAAGCCGATGCAAAAATCATTTTAAAAACCTGTTTAGAATAATGTCAATACGATTCAAAACGAGTTTCATAACGCATTCATTGTAAATTGTTAGTGAAGCATCACATTCGATAAATAATTCAATATATTATCAAATAAACCTCATCTTTGCATAAATGTATGAATGAATAAAAAATTAAAAGTAAGTAATTATAATACATAATTTCTAATTTATTTTTAGATCTGATCGGCCGTAATCAGTTTTCCTGTGTATTAGATTCGTGAAATTCCAAAGATTAAATGAAGTCATGTCCAAATTTATATAGATCTACAATAGCTACAATGTAGATTAGGTTCTTCTTAACAACTCTTTTTAAATAGTGAATGGAAGTAGTTTAGGCTTGATGGAAAACCTTAGAAAGAAACAAAGCTTTAGCATGTATAGATGCCTATATTCCTGTTAAAGTTTTGGTCAGTTGCTTAAGGCCCCGTCACACCAAGCTGCGTTCACACGGAGTCATTACGGCGTTGTTAAATTTTTCAAATCGCCGTGGAAGCGCAGAAAAATTGCACAAATTTCTGTATAATTTTTACAATATGAAGATATCACGGCGTCCCTACGGCGACGGACGCGATTCTACGGCGATCTCACGGCGTTCTACTGCGTTCCCACGAGATCTCTCGGCGATTGACTGCGCTTCCACGAAGTTTTCACGGCGCGTTAGGAGTTTTCACCTCGTGTTCACGGCGTTCTCACTGCGCTGGCTGCGTTCACATTACGTTCACAATGCGTTCTATACTCATTGATATATATTCAGAAGGAATGTAAAACATTTTTGTTTAAAGAATCAAGTTACACGATGAAAAAACTTCTAATCATGCCAAGAAATATTCGTAATAATTAAAAATGTTCTATTTAAATACTTTCGTCCTAAATCATTAATAGTATTATGAATAAACTCCTTTTTTCAATTTTATCGGTTCAGATGTGTTGTTAGATTTTCTTTGATTTTATTATGACTGTAAAAAAATAAACACATTGAAAAGTTTTCTACTAAATTCAAGTGAAACAACAGAACAAGTTCTGGTGTAATTTTCTCTTCCATTTTTTCCCACTTAAATGCTCCTAGTGCAACAAATACGTTGGACTTATTGCTGATCAAATATGATCCCATTGCTCTTTTTTTGTGCTGGCTGACAACGCTCTAATAACGCCGTGAAAGCGCATTGTGATCGCCATGGACGCTGTAGAAACGCCATGCATGGGAGCGCAATGATCGCAGTGACAACTCCGTGTTGTCGCCATGTAATCGCAGTCGAAAAAATCACAAGAAGATAAATCTTATTAGAAGCGCCGTAAAACGCGATAGAAACGCAGTGACATCTCCAAGGACTCCGCGACATTTCCGTGATGTCTCCGTGGAGGCTCAGTCTACTATATCACTGCGTTCGTGCCGCGATCATGTGCGTCTTCACGGCGTTCATACGGAGCTCCCACTACGTTGTTGGAGATCTCATCGCGCTGCTATGGCGATCATACTACGTTTCTACTGCGTTCTTATCAGACCGCGATCACACGGCGCGTGCTTTGTGCATGCCCAAAGTGATCGCCGTCCCCTGGCGTTCTAGGAGACCCTATGCGACCCTACGGCGTTCAGTGGAGATCTCACCGCGTTGTCACGGCGCTGTACTGCGATCACCTTGGCGTTTTACATTTTTTTAGGACGCCGTGCAGTCACCGTGAGGACGCAGCCCCGGTGTGACAGGGGTTTTACAAACAAAAATATTTCCCATATTGTTTTCTCTACTCTTTAACTTTAGAACTATGCAAACAATTTTAAAGGAATTTCGAAATAAAAGACTTGAAAAGAAATAATGATGGAAAAACTATCACTCGAGGTTGCAGTCACAAAGTTTACAGCATATACCTTTATACAGGACGTAGGGAAACGACTGATGAAATGTTTAGACTTATGTATATGTACATGTACATATTATGTATATGTATATTCACAACCTTTCCTTTGATCACATACAGTAAACACGAGAATACGAGAATTTAGGAGATGGAATCATATGAAATCAAAAATAAATCAAATGAAAACAGATTGATCGATGTGTACTACCAAATTGATATGGCTATTAATACCACTGAAACATTCTTAATTTGCTGTGATACCTAAGGAATTGATTAATAGCTGCGTTAAAAGTGTTGGATTCTAATAGGTTTAAGAGACTCTGGTTGTTTACTTTAGGATGCCATTGTTAAACTTCAAATCTCACCTACAACATTATAATCAGACCATGGTATTCGTAATAATTTTTGGCTAGCCGACGTTTGATTTTAAACTACAGCACTGAATTATTGTGTTTAAATGCAAAATAAATCCTTAAAAGGAAGGATTATTGCGATACAATGCAAAGAGTACTGCATTTTTAAAAATGCAACAAATTACCGCGTTTAAATGCAAATAATTATTGCGATAAATCGCAAAAAATTATTGCGATTAAACACAATAATTATTGCGTTTAATGGCAATATTATTGCGTTTAAACGCAAAAATTATTGCGTTTAATCGAATATTATTGCGTTTAAACGCAAAAATTATTGCGATTAAACGCAGAAATTATGGCAATTAAAAGCAAAAATATTATTACGTTTAAACGCAATAATTATTGCGTTTAAACATATAAGATTGCAATTAAAAAAATTGCGTTTAATCGCAATCTTTTGTAATTAAACACAAAGTTTCTTGCGTTTAAACGCAATGATTATTGCGATTAAACAGAAAGTTTTGCGTTTAAACGCAATAATTATTGCGATTAAACGCAAAGTTTTGCGATTAAACGCAATTATTATTGCATTTAAACGCAGAGAAAAATATTATTTCTCTGAACTGGCCTCAACGGGCTTCTGTTGTTGGGGGGATATATAATTGTAAAATATTGTTAACACTTATTTTTTTGGGGTTTTTTTTTTAAATATTAGCCTAGTATTATTTAATTTCAAATACTGAAATCATACCTTTCTATAAGAAATTTTAATCCAATAAATTTGTAATTTTGTAAATTTGTCGGATTTTAATCCCATGTATATTGTATAACAGATTACCGTTGTCTAACTGGTTTAAATTCCGTAAATTTGGCACGCGTGGTTGTAATAACTATATGGACAATAATTTAATAGTTTAAAAGACTCGATGAAATGTCAATGCAAAAAGAAAATCAATTGCACGTATTTTACACACATGCTTTAAATAAACAGCATTCTGAGAAAGGAAGCTACCTAAGTAGACATTAAGTGCGTCACCAAAGACAGTGATATCTCGTATATAAACAAAATTACTGTACATGCTGCAACACGTTATCTGACATTGGAATTTCTCAATATGATGATTTAAAATAACTAAAACCATCAACGTTTTCTTTTAAATCCTAAACATGCAACGGCTTATATAGGATATATTATTAGGATATTTATCCTCCTTAGGCTGTTCAAAGTTAATTCTACGTTTAACGTCACATCTAAAATTCAAAACCTACGAGGGAGGGAGAAAAAAAATAAACAAACAAAATTTTCAAACAATTGTGAATTTATTAAAATTAACCTATTCAGTACATTAAAAACATTACAATTAAGTAATATGAGCATTTAATTGATATGACACCTAAGATTAATTTTCCTAGCAGAGTTTTTCATTGGTATGTAAATCAATTTGAGTCCTATTGTTAGCAAAAAATGTAGTCTAAGACTGAATGTGCAGGAAAGTGGCTTTTAACTAGGCCTCAGTTGTCCTTTGGATTTATATTGCCACACGTCCATGGTACCCTGGAGGCAAATGCTTCTTCTTGTGGGAATATTTGCTCAATATCTACAATTAAAATTATTGATGACAATATTTAAAACTGTTCATGTTGAAATATCCTCAAATTGAATTATGTTGTATCTTTTCTTAGTACTGGATCTACTAGCATTAGGTTTTGAAAGTGTGAATACTAATATTTGGACCATACTGATAGCTGTTAGATTATCTTTAATACCTTGAATTCCACACAAAAGACAGGATTTTTCACGTCTTGGAATACCCCAACCACTTTCCTTACTCTCCCTCACTTGAAAGGCCATATCTTCGGTAAAGCTTCTCCCTGCTCAAATGGTTAAGACAAGTATTATCTTTTCCAAAAATTGTAGCTATTTGTACTGGTACATGAATTATGAAGAAATAAATTATCTTAATCATTACTGTTCCTTTCGATTTTTACAGAAATATTTTTTAATATGAAACATATTAAATAAGATTTAAATGATGCTTTTCACTGTATATAAATCTTGGTTTTTGACACACTTTCCACTCAGTCAAAAAGTTTTTCGATTCTCTCCAAAATACAATGAAAAGTTCAGCCAATAGAATCACGAACTGAGAGTCTGTCAGTCTGTACATGTTATTCGAAGACTGACAAAAAATCAACAAACTAGACTTTGTCATTAACTTCAATCATAAAATCGTCTATTTTTTACTTACATTTATGGTCCCAAGCTCTTTAATTCACTAGTTTTCTTTAGTAAGACACCAACTGCCTTTGCTGCACCTATCAAAGCACATTTTCTG